CCCCAAAACCCCAAAACCCCAAAACCCCGTGATTCATATATAGCCATTAGGATCATGGTGAAAATATATACATATAGAAAATGATAATATGTAAGAATGTGATTTGAGTGAGTAAAGTTTTTAAGATATTAATTATCTTGATAGTTAAAGATAGAATCAATTGAATACTCAGAGGAAGGTGACTTCTTCTTCATTCTTGGCAGAGTCGAATTTCCAGACCTTTATTGAGTCAATCTTGAGAGCGGAATCATCTCCTTTCCAGGTTTGTTACCAGGCTCCTCTAGCGTTCCAGAACTCGTTGACTGATCTTTGAGATTGATCTGACCATGGTTTGCCTCCCATACCCTCTGGGAAGTACCCACTGGTACCACCAACGGCAAGATTGAGGACGAGGTAGAATTCTCTGTTGAATGGTGCAGCGTTTGGCTCACCAACCCATGGGTTGTCAAAAGTTGATGGGAAGGTTCCTCTTTGCCAGAAACTTTGAGTCTTGAAATCAACTTCGAGGACTTTATGGCTTGGATCATCAAAATAGGTATAGAGTCCATTCTCGTCCCAGTAAAGACCATAGGTGTGGAAATCTGAGGTAAGAGTAGTAGAATGTTTGTAGTCTTTGTGGGTAAGTGGGTATCTGTTTTGGTCCCAGTTTGGTCCCCAATGGAGGGTTGAGGCGAAAGTGTCGTGTCCACCGCTTTGATAGTTGGGATCGTTACCTCTGGATTCCATGATATCGATTTCTCCAGAAGCGGGCCAGTTACCGAACTCGTTGTTTTTGGGGAGCATCCAGATTGCTGGCCATAACCAGTCACCCTTTGGAAGTTAAGCCTTTATCTCGACTCTTCCATATTGGAATGAGAAACTGTTCACAGTTCTAAGTCTAGCTGATCTAATTGGGTTGTTAACATTGCCTGAAGCAGCAGCATTTCTCTCGCATCCGTAGAATGCGTTAGCTGTGCATGCATCAGCAGGTGATGAACCCCAAATGTTAAGATCTCCAGTTTAGAGCTGTTGAGTTCCAATGTAATCTTCGGTCATGGTTGGTTTAAGATAAAGAACTCCATCCTTGGTGAAGCTGTTGGATCTATTATTGACGTACCACTCGAATTCCCAGTTACCGCCACCGGAAAGAGTAAGCTCGTGTTGCCAGGTCTTCAAGTCGAGTTTGTTAAAGTCATCATTGAAGATCAAGGTCTCGGTTGCAGCGGCAACTGATACCACTGAGAGGATGAGAAGATTCCTTTTCATTTTAATTATTATATTAGTGGATCCATATAGCCCTTAAATAGACCGGAAACTTAAGTTAATATAAAGTGCGATAAAAATCACGATAATATAATATTAGCGATACTATTTATAATAATTAAAAATATCTTATATTTATCACTGATTCCTAGTACTATGATCACAAACAATATTTATTGAATAAATAATTCAAAATGGAATCCTGATTTTCACCTGCACTTAAGACAGCTTCATAACCTTATTCATATGAAAATCCATTTTACATGGCGAAAATTACTCCAGGACTTAACCCTAAGTCTGTATTACTACTTAATCCGCCAGTTTTATGCTGTGTCTAGGGCATATTATTGTTTACAGCCTGAAATGTTTACATCAAGGCATCAGTTAAATCCATATTTTTTAGAATATTATCTGCTTATCTAATACTATCACCTGGCTTCTTAACAGCTTTATATCTTTGTCTCTCTTCCTATAAACTTTATTCCATTGCTTATCTAATCAATTCTTCCTCAGACTACTCTAGCTAGCTTTACATCATTGCTTTTTAGACATTTTCACCTTCAATGTCTCTCTTGGTCGAATTTATCTCCTTAATAGAAGCAAGTAGCACTTATTCCATATCCTTCTTACCTTGAATTTGGAAATCCTCTCTAGACCTCATGATTGTCTAGGCAATTATGCGGATATTTTACTCAGAGATTTTTTATTCTCTACTTAGACTTTTTTGGTTTTCAGTTGTCTATTCCTCTCTTAGTTTACTCATTTTTATAGCCTCGTTTTCTAACTCACCTGGACTTGATGAGACAAAAACTTTTTCATAAGTCCAGTTCATTGGAACAATTGAGTTATAATGAGATTTTCCATGGTAGCTCAGCTTAAATGGTTCATTACAGCCGTCTTATTCATGAAAGGTGCGCATTGGTTCGCTACTATAAGCGTAAATTTCTATAGGTCTATTATAAATTTCAGATAAAGCCTAAATCTCTACATCGTCTCCCCATACTGTATTCATTCTTTTACGACTAACATAGGCTTCTACATTTTATTCGCCTCCACCAATTATAAAATCCTTAAAATACTCCTTTTCACTGAGAATATAGTCCATGCATTTTTATCGAACCATTTTATGCTCATCCTCATCTCCATAGGCTTGATGAGCTATAGATCTGAATAAGCAATTGCCGTCTCTCCCCATCTCTATAATACGAAGTCTCTTTTCATACAATAATTTGGCAAACTTTTCATCCTCTTTTCGCCAGTCAATACTCTTCATTTCCTATTCAATTTGAGACGGGGTTTGCATTCCCCAGCTATTACCGCTTGATGTATTAAAGTTTGCACTGCTCTGCTTAAATATGTTTTTAACATCTTGGATTTCTTATTAGTGCCTGGATGAGTATTTAGCCCATCCTTCTGCCTCAGATATGGAACCAACTTCCAATATTCTATTTGCTTCATTAACCACATCTACCAATTCATCCTTATTGCTGGCATATCCCTTATAATGTACTTTTATTTTCTATTAATCATGACTAATTTCGACTACTGTGGCTTCCATCCATTTATGATTCTATATTTCAAGAATATCTAATCTGTTTCCTAATTTAAATGGCATTCCTTTTTTCCCTAATAAAATTAATGGTAACTAAGAATTATCTTACATTATTTTTGAATTCGATCAGTATTAAAATCAAGAATCTCATCATATTAATTACTCATTCTTGAGTAATGGACCTTTATTTTCTTGTTTTAAAGATCTATTTGTAATATTTCTCCATTAAACCAACGCTTTTGAACGATATCATAAATATCAATATGCTCACTCACTTGAAAGTTGATACCAAACCTTGACTCCATTTGAAATTTGATAAATATTAAATTTTACTGATAAATTCAATACCTAATTCCCCTTTAAAATTTAATGATAGTTGTTGAATGGGGTTTTGGGGTTTTGGGGTTTTGGGG